GGGGGGGGGGGGGGGGGGTGACAGCAGAGTACGTACGGATGTTGGGAGATGAGGCACATTGGAGGGGGGGTCGGGGTTGAAAATACGCGTACGCGAAGGGTAGATGGGGCCCCCGGCGTGATGAGTGTCCACATGATGTCGCCGATGCCTTGTAGAAGCGTGAACATATGCATACGTAGGCACGCACGACTTGCTTAGCTCTATATTATTGTCGATGAGAATGTCAGCGTTGCGGCAACAAAAATATTCGGCGGATATGTGTCTGCGTTGGAGGGCTTGCTCTTAGTGATTTTGACTTTTTGTGTATCAAACGCGCTGCCCACGGCACGTACTATGGACACAGTAGGCGTTGGAGGGTCAGGCGATTATTCATGTGAAAACAAGACTAGTCATACAGGTGGTCATGCCACATTTTTTGTGCACATCGTCCCAGCGCCATTTCAGCATGTCTTTGTTTCGAAGCAGGAACTCAAGAGATACCTGGGATGTATCTCTGAAAGGCTGGACGCTTCAAAATTCGGGCGAAACCATTACCTGCCTAGGTTTTCGTATAGTCACGGGTGTACGTGGAGGTGTACCATGAAGCTTAGATCTTGTGGTTTATCCTCTACCCCTTGCTCCCAAGTGAGATGGACAACCTCGGTAACTCTCCTGGATTCTAACCCGAAATGATCAAGGCCACCACCACGACTACAGTACCCGACCAACATACACCTACCTCACCACAGGACACGCGTATGTGCATTTGGCCATCCGACGAACGGGCGCGGGTCGAAGCCACGTCCGTTTGGCGCCTCTATGATAAGGCTCACTAGACCCGCATATCGGCACCAAGGGTGGGCGACCCGAGCTTGTCTACCACGACTTTGCCTCGTGCTGCAGCAACCCATTGCTCAAATGCAGCAGCGGAAAAATCTCCACTCTCCGACGACTTCCCCTCGAACGTTCTGCATTGCCCTGTACCACTAATATCCTGTACTACGCATGTTATCCCGATCTCCCTCCGACAAAGAGCAACAACGCTGTTTTTTTATCGGGTACGGGAGCAAGATCAGAAGGTCGCCCACGATGGCACCTTGGTCTCGAAAGCCCAATCCGGCCCCTGCCGAAAGCGATCATGATACGGCAGCAAAGGCAAATAAGGGGCAACACGCGTATGGGAAGATGAAAATGGGAGACGTCGACATTCTTAGATCTGTTGACAGTGTTGCTGCAGTTGCTGTTGTGATTGTTGTCATCGTTGTTTGCGGGAAACCAAAACTGCCCGCATACGCAAGTTACACGACCCAAAACAAGCACACGGCAATGTTCGGGAGTCAGAGACGTTTAGAGCAAGACACACAAACGCGCGTGGGGGAACAACCCACTGCATTCCACCTGTTTGGGTGTTTTTTCTTCACTCAACAAAAGACGCACACAACCCCACGCTCGGTCCGTTCGCCCAACACACCACACGTCACGAGGCACCGATCAGAAGAGTCGCGGCGGCGGTAGTCGGAACAATGTCAACGCCTGCCAGCACATGCAGTATGTCTTGCGGGGCACCAGACGTTCGTTCATGCTTCACGAGAAACCGTGGTATTCACGGTACATGCACAGCAAGAAAAAAAGAAAACGGGATATCGTGCAAGTACAGGGGTTTTCGATGAGCTAACCTAACAGTTGGCAGGGTGTCGGTTTCAGGCCAAACGTTTTCCGTCAGAATGGGCTCTCTAACGGACAGACAGCACAGCAGCAGTTGCCTGGAAGTAACGGACCTGGTATCGAAGGGCGTGCAGCCATATCCCGACACAGTGGAGCTGTGTCTCCTTGAACCTCTCCCCGGACTGGCACATGCTGCAGGTTCGAACCTTGGCGAACCCATGTCCGAAGAAAAAAATGTAAGCATGCAGGCGAGAGACGGGGTCGGACATACGGTAGGGGCAACGGGGGCTTGCTTTCTCTGAGAGAGAACAAGGGTGGCCGTTGGCGTCCACGGAGGGAGGGGGGTGGGTGTACTCACCGTCGTGCATGCCGTGGTCGTTAGAGCATTGACCTCGCATCCCTACAAAACCGGGACGGAGCACGCCGGGTTCTCACCGGACCAGGCTCTCGNGGGGGGGGGGGGGGCGCTGGTGTAGCTCCATATTTCAGGAAAGGAAAGGGAGAATGCTATCACTGAAACTCGGGAGCCCTCGAAAACCCCTTTCGGAGTGAGAAAAGTGCTCCCGTGCGAATATACAATGAGGCGAATACGCTGCTCCAGCCAGGCGGGGGCGGGGCGCAGTCTATTGCGGCGGAATCTCTGACCCTCAGAGTACTGTACATTGCGCTATTTCTCGTATGAAACCTATGTGGTCCAACAAGCCCCCACGCACGCGTTTTGCGCGAAATGCTCATGAATACGGAATAAAATGTAATTAATTAATTGTTTTTGTTTAGGGTTTGGGGTGAATTTTTTTTTTTTAGGTTTTGGGGAGACAATAATTAATTAATTGTTTTTGTTTAGGGTTTGGGGTGAATTTTTTTTTTTTAGGTTTTGGGGAGACAATAATTAATTAATTGTTTTTGTTTAGGGTTTGGGGTGAATTTTTTTTTTTTAGGTTTTGGGGAGACAATAATTAATTAATTGTTTTTGTTTAGGGTTTGGGGTGAATTTTTTTTTTTAGGTTTTGGGGAGACAACATAGTGAGAAGACTAATTAAGTCGGGGGCTATCAACCTTCTGATCAAACTTTTTCGGCCATGTAAAAATCGCCAGAGTGGCGAGAATCGAAGTCGAGACGGGTCGGCTCACGAGCAGGAGTCTGTCTCCCAGACCAGCCGTCTCTTCGTTAGACATTGGGGTGAAAAACCCCTTTCTCAACAGCAAAAAACAATCAAAATAAATGGTCCTGGTGCCAGGTGTCGTGTACAGTCAGTGCAGCCCGGCTTCTGTATGAGCGAAATCAATCGTGTACGGAGGAACAGTTCTTCCACGAATCCTCTCACACTTGCCGCACTGCTCTGAAATTTTTAAGGGATGGTTCAGCAGTTGACGTCATGCAGGGAAGCTGGCTCCAATTTAATTAATCCATACAAACTCAAGTGATTTAGCAATTTCCGACTTTTGGGACACGATAGTGTAATCTTCACATCCTGGAACAGAGTGCTAGAGCAGCAAACTAGCGGTTGACACTGAAAGCTGTTGTTCACTCCTGCCTCAATCTCTCTCTCTCACCATAAACTTCTCGTCGTCCTCGCCCTCTCGCTGCCCCTCCACGCCATCCCTAGACGCTACTACCCCACCCACCACCGCTTCCTCCACAGAAGCGCCAGCGATGTCGGCATCCGGAGCACCAGCGACGGCATCCGGAGCACCTCCGGCGCCGCTACCCCCGTCGCTTTCCACGGCGCAATCGCCGGAATCCCCATCCACCTCCATGCCGACCCCACCCGCCGCTTCTGATGTTCGAGGTTGGCGGGCTTCGTTCCCTCCCTTCGAACCCCGGCCAGCAGCAGCAGCACTTTTACTGCCGGGGACCCCCTTCCATCCCCCGTCCAGGGCAGGGTTTTCCTCCGCTCGACGTTTCGCTTCCGGGTTCCCGAAGTGAAGCTCGCCGCCGTAGCAAGGGTCGTTGGCTATCGGGTGGCCTGCCCACTGTCGGGGGTGGTGGGGGGTGGTGGTAGGGCGGGGGTACGCAGGCCCCGGAGAAAGAGGCCGGTTAGGGGTGGGAACTACGCGTCGGAGAAGGGGTCAGCAAATTTTTTTCCGTGCTGTGGTAAATGTTGGACTTCTCGCCGTCAAAATTGTTCGTACCACACGACCGGAGGAAAGAATAAGAGTACAGAGACCAATTTTCGGTGCTCGATGGGTATTTGGAGACCGGCCTCATGGCGCCGCGTGAGAGTGTACTTGGCTGTGCCGCGCGCAAGAAGTTTCATGAATGAAGTCATCCTTAGCTCTTCTGTTCAAAATTGAGCAGTTTTGCGAGACCAGACACAAGCACGCCTAGCTTGCCTGCAGGTGAAGTCGGATCTGGTGAGTCCTTCCGTGAACCGGCGTGCACTCGACCACGGACGTATCGCTCACGGCGTCGTACCCGACCCTACGGACAACCTGCTAAGCGGAACGGACGCGCGAACCGAAAAGGGAGGTTGTTGCTACACAACGGCAAGTCGAGGAACGCAACCCAACCGCGGCCGGTCGATCATGACTTGAGGAGACGGAGTATAAAAGTATTGGAAAAAATCAGTCCTCCGAAGCGTGAGCGAATGCTTGGGGCAGGAACGCGTCTGCAAAGCCCGCGTTCCATCTAGGCACGGATTGGGTCGCGTTTGACGCAGGTCGGATCCGGTTTTGGTAGCCTCCGTTCCAGCGGATTGAAACGCGGGCTAAGGTTTGTTGGGAGTCTGACGATGTGTTGTCGATCGCACACCACAGTGTCAGCAGAGCGGATGTGTCCAACCGCACACTCTCCTGGTCGGTTGTTTCGTTCGCTCCAGAGTTTGCAAGTTCGCTCACACAACGAGGCCAAGACCGGCCTGCCATCCCCGAGCAAACTACAAAACACTACTGTGCGCGTATGTACATTTCAGATTTTTTGCTTCGGGATTTCTTTCTCTCGCGACAGTGAGTCTTTTCTCGCGCTTCCTTGTCAGGGGCACGCAGGAGGCTTGTCGGCACAGTAGCGCTCATGTGCGGAGCTCGGCAGGCCTCCGTGGGGTGTGTGGTTGACGGTCAAAGTCGAAAGCTGGCTCGATACACCCGGGGACGCGTTACGCGTAGACAAAGCCTGGCGAACCAATTCTTCTGAAACCCATCAAACTCGACAGAAAGGAAATGGCCCGCACGCACGTTTCGAACTGGTTTCTCGCCGGCTGCGACAACTAGCCGGAAAATAAACCTCATCATATGCCCCCACAATGAATCCCTACTCATGTTCAAAGCTGGCGCCGTAACGCTCACCACGTCATCGGCTGTGTAGATTTTTTCTGTGCTACTCAAAAAGGTTTCCGTCTCCGTGTACCCCTACCGCTCAGGTCATACACAAAACATACGTCGTGAATTGAACATATTTGGCTCTAAGTTCCCTTGCGTGCAGGCAGAGAGACGGAAAAAAACAGACTGCTACTAATTGACGTATGCATGTGCAACAGCCCGAGCCCACTGGTGGTGGCGCGGTCGACGGACCAGAAAATACAAAAAGCAGGCGGGAATCAGCCGGTTCTTTTGGTAGTATATATATTTCCTGTGACTCATCATTTAGAACGGTTAGAATACTTGCCGGGATGCGAGCGTTATGTATCTACCCATCCAAGGTAAAACACAGCCCATTCGGGCCATAATATTGCGCATCATGTGGTGTTGCGTCGCCCGCAGATGGCTTGACACCCACGTCCCGAAGGGAGACCTTGGACGATGTAAGAAATCACGCCCCGGCGGTATCAAACATTCTACCTTCCAAAAAAACATTGTCACCGTTTCTTGCATCGTGGATAGGGGGGGGGGTGGTATCTTGTGTCGCCTTATGACCTTGATCTGAATGTAGACTAATTTTTTGGGCTCGTGTACACCCATAAACATAGCATATCACCACCGGGCGCGATGGTTCGGGGGCTGTTTTTGTTTGTTGTTTTTGTTTTTCTCCCATCATTGGACTCTGTCGTCTGCCCCTCTGGCCCCTATCCTCCACTTCTGCTAGCTAGACGACCCAACCGGGGTCACATAGGAGGGGGGGGCTGGACTCCCTCCTGCGGTTCCTGCCTGAGTTTTTTTTTATCGCGAGAAGGGTACAGCAATCCCTTCCCTCGCGACTTACGAAGTCGATTATGGTTTACTAACAACGAGCTTTGCAGCGCGTCGCTTTCATCCTAGACCAGGATTTATTTAGTGAGAAAAAAACTCACTCTGCCGGGACTCGAACCCATGGCCTGGCCCTTAGCAGGCTGCGAGGTTACCCACTAGACCACCGGGGCGACCGGTGTCCTGCGCCGAACCCGGTACACACCAGACACCCACCGTTTGCGCCTCTTTCCCCGACGGGTGGCACTCGTACACTCCATGCTTCGGGTCCAGCACCCTTATCGGACAGTTCACCCGCACCGTCACCCCCTCCTTCTCCCCTCCGGCACCACCGCCCCCAGCCCGCCCCGACGAAACGCTGCTCTCTGCGAGCCCCCCCTCCTCTCCGCTGACAGCGCCACTGCTTCGCAATCGACCCTTGACGACCCCTTCCCCGAGGGACTCATACCTCCACCACAGCTCGTCTGCCGCCGGCCCGCCGCCTCCCGACGACACAACAGGGGATGATTCCCTCTCGTCCCCTGTGCCCCCCCCCGCCGAGGGGTTTCCACCCTCCTTCGGCGGCGTGTCGGCTGTTCCTTCAGGCGGGGACAGGGGCGTGTCCCCCCCTCCCCTTGCCTGGGCGGCGGCGGAGGCGCCGGCGGCCGCCGAGGAAGAGGGGGAACCTTGCTTCCGGCGGTCGAGCGGCAATCGTTGGCCGAAATCTCCGGAGACGCGAGCGAGGTAGGTCTTGCGCGTTCGGCCCAAACCTTTCGCATGGACACCATTGGGAGCAATGTCACGGACGAGGGTAGATTGATAATATGTATCTTTGCACGCTTTCGTCTTTCAGGCGCCTGGAATTTGGGAGCTCCGCAACCCATGACTACTTTCAGCAACCGAACGATACTATGGCCGTTTCCATCAAGATTCGACAGGCCACCTCCTTTTCGCTTTCGCCATTCCACAATCTTACAACCTCGCTCGCAGCAGCTGCTACCGTACCAACCCTAGGAAGAGAGAATACATTCAACAAGGCACGAAAAGCAGGCCTACCCTACGATGCATGAGACCGCCTTCACAAGTTCTGAAGCTCGATTACTCCACGACGAAGAGGATGCCTCACAGTCAAACTGTACATAATTAATAACCCCTCCACGAGAAGTCCAAACGCCGCCATTTTGGGCACAGCCGATGTTTTCACTGCAGAGTAATCGAGCTTTGAAAATCGCTCCAGGGCGCGTGGTATCATATCGTATGCACCTCTCTCTGCGACAGTTCAGGGAGTGGATCGATCGGGCGTCCGCTCGCTCACCGATCTGCTTCTGAATTACGCCGGCTCTCTCCGCCGTCTTAGCGAATATGGTTAGTCCGGACGTTAGGCGGTCCAGCCGGTGGCATACTCGAAGCGTCAGATCCGGCCGCTGGCGGTGCATGATGTAGAACAGCGTGTTGAACCTTTCGTGGGACAAGTCAGCCCCGCCAAATGAGTTTCGGTTGAAGGCGGGGGCGGGGGGTACTCACAGCTGTGCACGCCGTAGAGGGGGATGGAAAATCATGCCTAGTTGCTAGGACATTGACCACACAGGGGGGGGAGGGAAGTTTAAGGATGCATAGGTAGGATAATTGCCCCCATTTGTGAGCATATGAAACCGAAAAGAAAAACGAACGAGCGCCTTATGAACGCCTCATTATGTCGTTCACGTTGAACTCCTGCAGAGGACTGGGAAGAGGGTACAGGTTTCCCGTTGGCGCGACATTAACACGCCTTCCTGTCACGTCCGAGAGCATACATCCGTAATCGGATTGATGCCCTTCCCACCTAAGCACACAGCGATCGGGATTGATGACGTCAAGTTTAATGCAAATCCAGCAGCAAAAGGAGGACGAAATATGCTCCCCCCCCCGCCGCCACCGCAGCAGCAACAGCAGCCTTAACGTAGAGCAGAACGAGCACACCTGCAAAAAACGCATGCGCCCTCTTTCAAGCAGGAAAATCAACCCGCACGTGACCCCCCCACAGTTCTATCGCTGCCGCCCACCTGTAGGACCCGCAAGGATGGATCGGCACCGTGCAAGGCTTGTCTACTACGAGCTCTTCCGCAGATTCGAAGACGATAGGAATGTCGCCGCCGCAAACGGGAGGCTCGTGACGATGCGTCCTGCAGTCCAGCGGCAAAGACGACCGCCAATTCTCTCAACTTCAGGCCCGTCTTGGGGGCGATACACGATACCCCAGGGGTGGTTTGAAATTGCGTGATTTGTGCGGAGACAAGTAGGGGGGCATTAATGTATTGCAAACGCATGATATCAAGGGGGGGGGGGGGGGGTCGAGACTCACCTGTTACAGATCAGGTCTGAGTTTTGGAGCTCGTAGTCCACCCCGACCTTGTTCCCGTTCACCGTCAGGAGCCCGCCGCGAATGGCGTTCTCGTAGTGGCTGCGCGGTTCGCCGCCGAACTCGGCACCTGGAGAGGGAGGAGACAAACAAAGCCGACAAAGGGCGAAAGGTTGTGTAAGTCTTCTCGCAATGTGGTGCGGGACTCCTGGAAGGGCGTTCGTTCGTCTCTTGTAGTCGAGTGCCGTTCACCGCGGGCGGTGCTCTGTCCAAAAGGGGGAGTCACTCAGCACGCGTGGGCTCCTCCGCTGCAATGCACGAAAACAAACGGCACGCGTCTCAAACGACCTTCAAAACCTGTTTGCTTACCTCGTAGTCAGCTCGCAGGCGCGACCACCAGTCAGCGTTCTGGATCTGGTTCCAGCACAAGCCCACGAAGGCGTACACTATCGCAAGAGCTTTATGAATGATCGGTTGCAGTGAAACGCGGCGCCGATATTGCTGGCGTCGTCGATCAAGAAACCCAAGCACACCCAAGAAACTCACTGAAGACGTCGACGACCGTCCGGCCGAGCCAGCGTTCCTTGGCATGCGTCTGGAAGTTATAGATGTACGGCCGTACCCTCCGAAGGCCTGAAACAGAAAGTAAAAGAAGCGAGATTCTGAGAATGACTCCAGTGAGGGGCGTTTACATCATGCATCCGGTACCGACCTGGGGAGTCGTCAACCTCTGCGAAAGGTTCCAGGGTTCCTGGAGTTTGGATATGAACAACCCCAGATCCGCCTAGGCGGGGGAAATATTGGGGACAACGTTTCTATCCAGCAGTATTGGTATGCCTCAACTTCCACGATCACTGTTGCTGCAGGCAGTATCCATTCGTATACAGGGTAGATTGACGGTGTGGGTTGGATTTTGTAGAATGCAGAGTTCGTGTCTCTCGGTTTGTGTTCGATCGATGTGCCCGATCTATCAGGCACACACGATACCAACATAGTTGCTTTACAGAAGAGAGGCAACCTATCACGCCACCGGAGGGGGGGGGAGCATACTCCAAGCCGCACCCATACCGCAGAAAACGGACCAGGAGGGACGTGTCGAGACGTACCGTGACCGTCGACGTAGTACTCGCACTTCTCGGAGGCGTGCGCCAGGGCCTTCTTCTTTCGCTCGCGCTTGGCGTCGCCTTTCCTAGGCCTCTTGCCCCGGCCATCGTCCCCTCTGTTTGGCGTGTGCTTGTGGCTTGACTTTTGCCGGGAATCTGTCTCTCCTACTCCTGCGGCTGCTGCTCCTGCTGCTGGTGGTGGTGGCATTGGTGCTGGGGTGCCATTTTCGCTGTGCTGCTAACGCGCAGGGAAGAGCATGCACGCACATTGCATGCGGCGGAATCAATCGTTCGGCAACAACAGAGGCCGACTGCACAAGAGACCAATAAACAGTAAGCACACACCGGTTGGTCTGTCGTCTGTAGTTTTTTCTCTCATGGGGGCAGTACACGAAGCCCGACTGGTACCCTGGCGACAAATAACGCTATGCAGTTGTGAGCAGCTGAGTGCTGAGGTACAGACAGAGACAGCAGCTGCTGTGGCCCATGTAAATATCATGTTGCGGGCAACGGAAGATGTGACTTGCTGTGTTTCTGACATGGGGGGAGCGCATAGTTTCTGTGTAAAGGAGAGACGCGACAACAGGCAGGTATGCTCACCTCCACACTCCCTTGTGCTGTGGGCGTCCCTGCGTCAGATGTCTCCATCCGGGGATCTCGATAAGCAACTGAACAGCAGTCAAAGTTGTGGTGTCAAGTCGTCAATCAGCAGGTGATCCGACACATGACACATACGCGGAGGTTCCGGATGATTTGCCGGGGCTCCCAAGTGCCCGGCCTGCGCGGAGTTGCAGGTTGGGCTCGAGCACTCACCGTCTCAGTGCGCTGTTCCGCCTCTCCTTGGTTCTGGGCTTGGTGCAGCTGGTTTTCGTTATTACTACAGCGCTTCTTCTTCTTCTTCTTCTGTCGTGTTCCTTGCCTGCTTCGCCGGCTCCTTGCCTCACTGCTGCTTCAAATCTGCGGGAGAATCAACACTTTGTCGTTGAACATTTACATTTTCGTCACTCCCACGCAAGCAGTACAGCGAGTACATGCTTAGACTACAAGAGTTAAATGACCCTCCTCAGCAACGCAGCCATGTACCACAAGACTTGGGCCACCTTTGTCGACGACGCCATTTCGAAACACCACCAGTCGACCAACGATGGCAGTGCTGGAAACAGCAGAGACGGCATTGTTGGGAGCGGGCGCATCGATCTCCAGGATGTGATGCGCGTAGAAGAAATCCTGGCCAGGATCGAGAGGGCGGAGGGAGGTTGGATCGATTACGAGAGGACACCGGACGGGGATGATGGCGCCGACGTAGATGCCAGCTCTCTAGCGAGCGGTAGCCTGCCGAGATCGAGCGGAAGGTGCGACAGGGTGAAATCCTGGTCTTTACTGCGAACGACACCACGTGCGGTGCCAGCAGGGACGCACACATGCTGGCAGCGCAGAGTTCTGGAAGCGGTACACTGCTGTGCACACCTGTTGTAAAATCATATGTAGCTTGCGTGACGTATAAGATGAATACTTACTGTAGTCTGTTTCCTGGTGTTTCATCATGGTGAGCTGTGCGCCAACTTACTGAAACACTCGCTTGCGCTAAATGTGCTGTTCAATAGTTGTCCACATGACAGAGTAAAGAGTAGACCACGATGAGCTGGTTGGGAGCGTCACCCACGAGCAACCAAGGGAGTCAGCGCAGTGTTTGCAGTCTTAGTGGGTCATTGAACTGCAAACCACAAATTTGCTGTCCTGGGCAAGTGGCATACCCAGGACTCGCTCTACCCATATTTCGGTTTCATGCCTTCCGATGGCGTTCAACCTGCGTGACCCCCGGAACATCAACCTGGAACGCACGCCAGCTATGTAGGTCACTCTCATCACCGCTTCGTCCCGCCCGCCCACCGCAGGAAGGCACTCGACACACTGCCCCCGATGTTCCAGAACCCAGGCCCTTCTTTCCTAGCGTCGATGTACAATCCCGCACCGGTCATAGCCTATAGCGGGAAAGATGGGCCGCAGCCAAACGACGTGAAGGCATCGCGCTCAGGCGCGAAGGAGCGATCCTGTGCAGAAGACAAATATCTTCCCGTCGTCAGGGATTCTTTCGCCGTTTCCGGTAGCATGGGTGATTACAACGGCCTCGGGGGTGTCTACGCTGCCAAGGAGGACCAGCTTTGCTCCTCCCAGATGGCTGTCGGAAGTGGCGACGGGACCGCTTCAGAACACGAGGGCCGGAGGCGGTGCCTCGAGTCTCGGCCGGGAGGACCGGAGACGAAGACGGAGCAACAACCGATCGGCCGGGACGATCTGTCAGAACTCATGGAATCGCTCCACCTCGATGGAACAGAATCGGGACTGTCAACGCCTCCGCCAGTGAGGGGACAATTGGAAGAGCAGGGGGACGACTTGCATCGTGGGGCGCAACAGCCGGCGGGGGCTCAGGCCTTAGAAGGACCAGCATCAGCGACGAGCAGTAGCGATCCACTTGACAGAAAAATTTCCGTGGCATCAGCCTATGAAAATGAAGAAATGTTTGCGGTCTCCCAGAAGCATACCAAAGGTGGCTCGAACGGAGGCGGCGAACAGGTGGTGTGTCCCCTCGAGCAGGAGGAAGAGGAGAAGGGAGTAGTGCGATGTGTTGCTGCGTCAAGTTCGGGGGCTACCCCGCTGCGGCCGGACTTGTTTTCGGAGGACGTATTGATGTCAGAGCTGTCCGCATGCCCGGACGCAACGCGCATCGAAGGAGAGGAAACGGCACATGGTGAGACTACGGGAGCGGAGGGGGACAAGAAGGAGGAGGAGCAATCACCTCTTTTCGCCTCGTCTGAAGACAAGTCGAGTATGATTGGAGGGGTCACGGCGGTGCACGCCAGCCCGCGCGGGGTGGGCAAGAGTGGCGAGGAGGACCATCTACGGGGTGCTGTGCTGTCGGTACAGCGGTCGGGGGTGGAGGTGGGCGTCACCGTGCTGGAGGGTAGCGGGTACGGCGACAGTGGCAGTGGCAGCAGTCGGACCGACCTTTCTGGGGAGTTTGTGGCAGCAGCCACCGCTGCTGCGCTCGTTGAGGAAGACGACGACGTGCTCGGCGCCGTTGACGGCGCCGTTGATGACAGTCAGTGCGCATTGGTCCCCACTCCTTTGGCTGGCAGCAGCAGCAGCAGCAGCAGCAGCGCCCCCGTTAACGATGGCGCCGCCGCCGCGGCCAGGGCCATCCCTTCGGGAGCTGAATGCTGTCACCGATCGCCGCTCCAATTGGAGTTTGAGCGGAAGGTTTCAGCGGCAGGGAATGGTCGCAACGGGGATGCCTTGTCAGGCGAACGGAAGGTTGGTGCCGACGACGGTGACCTCAGTGATGGCGATAGAATACGCTTCGTTGGTTCCACCCTAAACGCGCCTGATAAGCTGCTTAGCTTGTTGAGCTCACCCGTAGGGAATGACCCAACACCGGCGAGTGTCTCGGCTCCCGCTGCTGGACTCAACGGTGGAAGGCCGAGCCCTCACCACGAGCCAAGTTCACAAGGGGACGCACGGCTGGAACGTCGGGCCCAGGCAGGCGATAAGGCAAGAGTAGACGAACAGGCGGAGTCTCCGGAGATCTTGCGGCTAGGGCCGGCATCGCCGGCCAGGGAGAGAATGATTTGTCATGAGCGGAGGCCGTCGTTCGACCGCGGGTTTTCGGGGGTGAGAGACGTCGGTGGCGTCCTCCACGGGGGTGGTGTTCCCGGCAACAACGGGGCGAGCTTTACGCTAGCGCGGAGTCCGGCGTCGACAAGGGGAGTTCGACGAGACCAACGCTTAAGGTCAATGCTCAGTCCCGACACCGAAGGCGTCGGTTTCTTGGACGGTACTGGCGGGGTTAGCTCACTGTCGCCGTTTGTGCTTGCCGGGTCGTTTGATGTCGCGGACATGGGCGATGCTGGTTACGGCAGCGGCAACGGCGGCGGCTGGGCTTTGCCCTCCGGCGGGGGCGACGGTGACTGCGACTTGTCCCCCGTCAGATCGGCGACGTCGGAGACTACCGATGATGTACCGTCGCCGCCGCAAGGGTTGGGGACGCCGTCTTCTGTTTTCCCTCGTTCAGGGGAGGACATGTCAGAGGACGGGGATACAACGTTAACACCGGAGGTTGAGACTCGTTTGAGCTCTTCCAGGTCCCCTTTTGTGGTGAGTGCCGGCTCTAGGTTGGAAGAGGAAGAAGGGGGTGATCCGGGCTGTGGGAACGTGGACGCTAGTACACGGGAGGGACGAAGCACACGAAAACAGGCGGACTCCGGGGGCTTCATGCCGCCACCTCCACCCCGACACCCATCGTTCTCGCCGAGACGCACTACGTCGAAACACCGCGAGAGGGCATTGTCGTTTTCGAGGAAAACGCATGAGGAACGCTGCGCGACCCAGTCGAGCGCCGCCGACACCCGAGTGGTGCCGCTCCGGACAGCGCTGGGAGACAGAACTAACGCCGCGCCGAGAGGACGGTGCGACGGACGTTCGGACGAGGAAGAGTCGCTACCGGTCTCCACCCGCGATGGCGGACGCTGCGACGGTGGCGGTGGTGTTCGCCGTTGTGGAGTTGCGGAGTACAGCGAGCAGGCTTCGATCGATTCGTTCTCGGAGAGCGAGCCAGGAAGAAGCAAGCCAGGGGTTAGCGCCACGGAAGCGGGAGCCGACGAGGATATGACGGATGGCTCGTCGCTTGCGGAGGGCACGCCGCGACGGCGTGGGGCTGGTGCCAGAGATTGTTATCTCGGGGGGTTCTATCCCCCCCTGCAGGTGCGAGAACTCAGCAGCAGCGCTTGCGGTGGCGTCTGTGCCGATCGTCATTCAAGCGGTTGAGAGTTGTTTCGGCTTTTAGCCCCCTCAATTCGATCTATTACAAGTAGAAGGGTCGCAGCTGAGAGGCTCTTGCCCCGCACCGGCTGTCCCTTGCCGGTTCATGTGGTGGACTGGGTGAGCTTTCTGGACGAAGCCTATGTGCATCTTGTACCAGGAGAATTTTCGATTGAGGTTGGATGAGGGTGTCCGCACGAAGTAACTAAACCATCTTGTTGCGGTGCACGGCTCCGAAGCAGGTGGCCAACCTCGCCAGCAAGGCGCGGGAAGGCTTGACCCTCTCCACCCTGCAGGAGAGCACGTTGCAGTGGATGCTCTGGCGGGAGCGAGGCGAGAAAGGTGGAAGGTCGGCAGTTGCAGCAGGGGCCTCGGTCAGCGACGACGACGACGACGACGACGACGCTATCGACATAAAGGGAGGGCTATTGGGGCATCTGTCGTCCGAGGAGGCGTCGGCATGTTTGCATGCCCTTGTTCGGGCAGGCGTTACCTTCAACGATGGCGACGGAAGCCGGGGGATGGTCGGCAGGTGAGCTAAATAGTTCTTGGTGGAGTAGGGCAGCAATACAGGTAAGAACTGCCAAGTACTGGTCCAGATTTTTTGAAGGCAACGTCAACATCTGAGAGCACCACACGAATAATCCAACGAATAAATCTCCTTTATGGCCTGCCTTCTGTGCGACCCCGGCTGGTGCGTCCAGAATTGTTCCGAAAGGTATGTAAGGACCAACGCCAGGAATATATGGGATGACAACGAAAATATGACCGTGGCCCATCGGGGCATGATCCGTCACCTTGTAGCAAAGCTCTTGCCACCATGGTTATCGCTCGGTCGCCTCCCCCCCCCCCTCTCTTCCCTGTCAACAGTAGGGCGAGGCGAACACATAACGGGACGGGTCTGCCTTGCGGGTCTACTCTGATCTTAGCGCCTACGAAGGAGGCCGCATGGCGGNCTCGGTCCCCCCCCCCCCCCCCTCTCTTCCCTGTCAACAGTAGGGCGAGGCGAACACATAACGGGACGGGTCTGCCTTGCGGGTCTACTCTGATCTTAGCGCCTACGAAGGAGGCCGCATGGCGGTGGTCCGATAGGCTAGAATCAGGCTCTGGGGGTCTCTCCGTGCTGAGCTACGTGATGCCCTTGAGGGAGAGGCGAAGGCTGAGCGCGAAGCAGGTGGCCGCATTCGACGTGGTCGTGACGACGTATGACGTGAGTGAACGAGAAGCGTATGTCGTACATTGCGCCACTGCTGCTGCTGCTGCTGCTGCTGCTGTGTTGTTTTCGAAGGATTGGCGACACGCGGTGTACGGCAAAGTTTTTTGTGCACGATGAAACCAATGGTAAGCGTTAAGGGTGTTCGTGGTGCAAGCGTGAGAGATCTGGTGAGGAAAATGCATCAAGGGACGTTGCGCGATTGCGAGTGGCACATAAAACAACNCTCGGGCGGTGGGCTCTGCTGTAGCTTCTGCTCGCCGCTGTAACTCCACATCGAGAGACTCCCACAGGATGACCAGGGTATCTGCTTGTAGCTACGGGCTTGCCCTTCAATTCAAGCTACACAGCAAGCTCCACCTCTCAGCAGTAGTCCAGCTGCAGCGCATCGCGCAATCTCGCTCTCAATTTCATGCTTCGCTCTCAATTTCACCAATATGTTGTTGTAAGTGTATGTTTGTCATGTGGGCGGTTCTCCCCTTCTGCCGTACCGCCGTGGAATGGTTGCACGTGCGACACGCCACATCGTTTGTTTATGTCGGCTTACACCTCAAGTTTGGCCGGACGCCGGCCAAGTGCTTCACGAGCGTCCAACGACTTGCGATAGAAATGTTTCCCCAACGAGGTGTTTTAATTTGATCTGAGGTTCTGTCACGTGCTTACAAGATGCGAGCGTGGTTTACGATATCTCCTTTGTCAATGGAGAATTTTTCATCTCGTCACATCCCTACTGCCGTATCTGAAGGTGTCTGTCTACCTTGAAAATCTTATCTCACGGTTGCACACAACAGGAG